AAACATTAAAAAATATTTAATCATAAAAGACTGAGTTTAACAAGATCTGAAATAAAAATACGAAGTATCAATCGTAAAAAGTTGAACGCAAAGAAAAAACTTAGTTTTAATTGTGATTCAAAGCGAGAGATTCGCGCTTGAATATATCTTGGGCTCTTTATGACCAGTGCTTTTTATTTTATTTTAGAAAATATTAATTTTTATACATCTTCATATATCTTATCTATTTTATCTATATATCTTTCTTTTAGAAAATATTTAAGTACATCAATATATAAAGAGGATAATGTTGGCATGCGGTAAGAGCGACATTTCTGATGGATGTGTAAACGAAAATGACAAGGTAACTTTCTCCGAGCTGCAGTTTTTTTTTTACTTGAAATTTAAGTTCGTGTGATATCTGATACACACACACACACACACACACACACACACACCCATATACATATTGAGTTCAGCTTTCTAATGCAAGATGCAGATAAAAGCCACGGCAAATTTTTAAAACGAGAAATTAGTTACAATAGAGTGTCGTTCAGCAAACGTCATTGTTCAAACGATTGATGATACACAACAACTCGGAAATGCATAGACGTGACGTGTTTTGTTTTGGAAACGTCTCAGGACGCGTTCGCGAAATGTGTGTCAACGCAAAGATATTGTTTCCTAATTGCCTCCATTGGTATTTAAAATGGATATTTGTCTTAGCAGTGACGACTGTCACGTGTAGTCTCTCTCTCTCTCTCTCTGTCTCTTCACGTAACGATGATGATCTTGAATCCCGCGTGTCCTCACTCCACTGACACGATTAAAAAACATTTGCTTCAGGCCGATAATCCATCAAAAAATTATTGCTAACGATTACGACGGAATCGCGGAGTCGTAACAGCCTGATAACATCTCCGATTAAATCGGTAATCATTACGAGAGGGGGTAAAAAAAAAAAACACTCGCGTGCGAACGCGCGTCAAACATAAGATTATAAGATTAAAAATAACGAGTTTGAAAAAGTGTTTTTTATTTGAACACGTGTAAACATTTATATTCTTTTTCTTTCTTCTAAAGAAAAGAGAAGAAAAAAACGGATGTTTGGCGCCAAGTAAAAAGAAAAAAAAAGAAAGTTTGACAGATAGAAAGTTTGTCAACGTGAATATATGAAATCTGTTTTACGATGTGAGATACAAATTCGAGCTTTTATTCGACCCGGTCAGTCAATATCAATAACCATCGAATGACGTCGATGTTGTCGTTTGAAAATTCTGCCGGTCTTTTTCAATCAGCTTCCCGAAGCTTACGCAAACCGACAGTGCGCCTGTCGCATCTGTCGGTGACAGCGCGTGCGAATCGATCGATCATCACTAATCGAGATAGTCACAAGTTGTCTTAGAGAGACTCGTTAGCGACTCGAATCTCGTTGAGTTGCCATTGCTCGGAGAGGGAGAGGAGGAAAGAGGTTGACTGACCTATCTCATCTCCGATGCGTGTCTCGAGAGTGATTTCTGGCGCGAGTTTGCGGCTTGCTATAATCGTTTCGCACGAATGCCCGATACCGAAGTATCGGTATATCCAGGCGCGTGAAAGGGGGACTCCCCTTGTGTGGTCTGTCTATATATCTCGGATTTGTTCTATTCTCTGTTTTCTTGCCTCCACTTTTTTACCGTCTCTCCGGTGTCTGCGACGCGCGGCACGAGAAAAGAGAAAAGTAGAAAACGTGCGGGCGCACACACACACACGCATCACGATATGTGTAATGACGCGTAAATATATTTTGTCACATAACAGTTCAGTAATTTTTCCGTGCAACAATGCGGACTTGAGTTTCATTTGTGAGTAACGAAAGAAAATGCAGAAAATTCGAGAGTTTTTCAAGAACTGTTTACTCACATGTCAATAAAAAAAAAAAAAAAAAAAAAAAAAAAAAAAAAAAAAACAGCATTTCTGAAACACGTAACACATTTCCGAACACGTAACACATTTCCGAACACGTAACACGGATTTTAGATATCTGCCGATCGATGACAACGCATTGCGAAATGCGCGTGAAAGTGTTACACACACCTCTGCACTACTCCGAGCCAATTAACGGTTTCGTTAACGCCGGTTGTGCCGTGTAGGATTCTTTTTTTTTTTTTTGTTCGTTGGAATTCGTCAAAGCGCTCTCTTCGATTACGTCGAATTTCGCGGATTTGTGCTCTTTCCGTTTACATGAAACGCGCATTAAATCGTATTTACACGAATGGTCTCTACGCTTTTCTTATCTGTTGCACACAAGTGTCTTCGAACAACGAGCAAAGTTTAACGAATTCGTCGGTCAATAAAGTTATTGATTCGATCTGCCTGCCAAATTCTTGTCGAACTTCAATAGAAGTGAAGTGCGCAGTGAAACGTATAATTTAAGATAATCGACAAGATTGAGAAGTTTATTTGCAAAAGTTTCGCTTGTATTGTTATTTTTCTTCTTATCTGTTTACGTGTTCCAACATTTTTTTCGTCAAGACAAACGATTACTAATCACCGAAGAATTTGGAGTTCGGAAAAGATACAAAATCAATGAAGATCTTATCGTTATTTACTAAATGCCTTCTATGATCTCTGATGAGAAATCACGTTGAAAATCACACACATACGCTATTATAAGTTCTCGATCAAGTGTCAATTTGTTGGACGATGGATTATGATCGATCAAAGATGAACCTATGACAAATAGCGGTGATTATTTACGTATCGGTGATCAATAACAGAATGAGTCGTATTGAAGAGAAACTTGATTTATTTTTAAATGTGAAAAAGCACGATTTTCTGAAACTTCATTGTTGGAAAAATCACGAAATTGTTTTATTGTTTTCCTACGTTTGTGTAATAATGTTATATTTGTATTCAAACTTTTATGACTTGTTTTAGACGACGTTTCTTTTTTTTTTTTTTAGGATAGAATTAATGTAAATAAATTCAATAAAAAAGAAAAAAAATATTTTTTCTTTGACTAAAGAAGATTCCGTTATGAATGAAAAATTGTTATCTGAATAATTGCTGGATTAATGTGCCAATGTTAACAATAAAATATTTCTTTACGTAATAATAGTTCATTTATATGCGCATGATTTATCACATTCTTCTTTTTTACGTTTTTATCTCGGAATATACTTTGACATCTTGCATACACACACACACATACTCACACACACATTTATCTATAATTAGAGGCTTGATAAAATAGTCTTAAAAAAAGTGTAATCTGTAATAACAAATGAGTAATTTAGAAAAAAAATCTTAATGTGTAAAAACTTTCTAACGTGTTTGTGACGCAAAACGTTTGTCGCAGTTTTAAACAAAAACAAATCGAAAATATTCGTGTCGCAATTTCACTTTCGCGCGCGAAAAAAAGAATTATAAATAATTAATGAGAATAAATTAAAGTGGTAATAAAAAATAAAGATAGATCGCGGCCAGACAACGCGCGTACTGGTATTTGAATTGCTTAAGCGAAGCGGGCGAGAGAGAAATTTTCGCCGCTTTCAACTACTTTTTTTTTTTTTTTTTGTTTTACAAAAAGGTGCACGACCTGCCGGAATATAACTTCTCGAATCGCCGGGTTCTTCAGTCTCCTGTGAAAACACATGGCAAACTGGACCACGAAGACGAGCTGGTGGTACCGTTACGAACGTAGTTTGCAGAAAAAAAAAAAGCGTTTCGTGACCAAACCAGGCGTGCATGATGCCGAGTGTACCGCTCATTACGAATTTCCTGGTGAATTCGCGCGGTGTACAAATAATACACGCACCGGTGCGATCGCGTACGAAGTGCTTGCGCGTGCAAAGCGTCCTTCATTATTTAACATTGAAAAATAATTAAAAACTCTGCGCGATTACAAAACTTTTTTACATTTATCAAACTTATTACAGAGTATAAATTCATCAAACCAACACGAAATTGTATTTTTAAATCTTCGCAACAGATTGACAAGAGCCTCGATATGGTCAAGATCAGCTCAGTTGTTTATTATTCGCTGATGTACGACATGTAACTAGAGGTTACATTATCTCAGCGCGACGAGAGAATATTCGGCCGAGGTTAAAACGACAAGAAAAATCGCACGCTTTTTGATAAACAGCACATTATAATCAACCTTGCTCTTTGAACCGCGGCGCGCGTGTCAAATTTACTTACGTACAAAGTTGAGAGAAACTTCGGAGAAAAGACGACGGTTCGTTACAAAACACGAAATGAAGGATGTGGGCCGCAAAAAAAAAAAAAATTCAGAGAAATAAGCGTTTTGTAAGAATTATAATTATTGTCGACGTAGTATCACATCGTGGCGACATAGCGTCCCGGAAAGTCAAGGACCCGAAATGTCACGCGCTCGGAAAGAGAGTGAGTCAGCACGATGTTTGAGCGGAGCGCACGAGGCACGGACGACGATGGGGGACAGGTTGGGAAAAATCCTCGAGACGAATCTTACGTAACTGGAAGCGAGAAAGGGAAAAAGTGGAGAAAACGAGAACGAAAGTGCGACTGTCCGTCGTCGTGATAAAATCCAGACGTGTGAGTGATTTAATCGTTCCGGATCGAACGAATCGAGATCGTTAAGGCGGAGATACACGTTTATATATCCACGTGTCGCGGAAACGCCTGAGATTATCCGCGAAACGATAACCCGCGCGATTATTTTCCGCGGACGAAACTTTCGAAATGTGGAACGTCGTTCTCGCGTCGGATGATCGCGCAAAACAATCGAAAGCGATTGCACGTGTGGAGACAACATTTGCTTCGCGAACGCTCCGCGATCGAGAGAGCGAAGGTCAAATCTCACGCGATCGACAATGATCGAGAGATCTCTTTGCTCATTTCGCGCTGACAATTTATTGCAACAATTATGCAACAAAATATATATTCTCTCAACAATAAAAACATCCATGATGCGATCGATATGTATCGATTATGTATCGGAGACTTTCCGCGCTTGTATTCTGGAGATTTATGTGTTTGTTGTTTTTCTGTTGCAGATGCCCTCGAAATCACGGTGTTGCCGAGATCACGTCTGATCAATCGAGTTGTAAGTCATTATAATACATTACTTTGTACGATATATGAAAAAAAGAAAACGAGACATAATTTATAGTAACTACTTACTTGAGAACTTTTATCGGGAAATTAAATTGCACATTGGAAATAATGAATAATAATGAATGAGAGATTAATTATTGAATACACACACAACTCTTGGCGGCATCAGAAATTTAACCACTCGGTTTAAACTGATATTTTCGATTTCTCGTTATTAATAACTCTCGCAGGACGTGAATATACAGCTGCAACTTTAGGCAGGTGCTGCTGTTTCGCGTCGGGAAACTATTTTTGCGGGACGCGCGATGAAATATATGTTTTGTGGTTTCTTTCGGCACGTTACGCAAAACGACTATGTGACTTTTGTACTTTTATGAAACTGAGGTAGTAGAGTCAGGTGGCCGTCCGAAAGAATATCCACGTGTCAAACAACAACCACAACGTGTGTGTGTTTGTGTGTGTGTGTATGTGAAAACGTATTTCCATACTATTTTCTTGAGAAAGAACCGTTCGAGTGGAAATTGCACAAGGAAGTCGCTCTTCGCGAACTATCGGTTACGTGACAAGTGCGGATACACACCGTTGTCCGCGATGCGCGGAATAGCGGATCGTTCCTCGAGAGATCTCGAACCCATTGGCCGTGACCCTCTGGCCGGTCTACACCCACGCAATTGCACAAAACGCTGCGAGCGTCTTGAGATCGCGTCACGCGCGAATATTTGAGGTCCCAAAGAGCATTGCACGCTTCTGCGTGTGCAAGAGTTTAATCGGGAAACACTCGAAGCGCGTTCGCCTTGAGCATCGCTTGCTCTCTAATTTTTTTAATGATTTTTTTAGAAACACTTTTTGTAGTTCAAAAAATCTGAATAATACAATCAATTGGTTTGGCTGATGGTTTGGTATAAAAAAATTCAAAGTAAAGTTTTATCTTTTTTTTTCGAAATAAAAATAACGAGATAAATAAAAGATCTTGGATGAATAATTGTGAGAAATTATATACACTTTTGATGTAAAACAAAACAAAAAAATTACAGCGCAAATTAGTTTTATCTCATTAGTTTTATCTCATTTTCATGTTGATACGTTCGTTAAACTTATCGAGCCTATCAGCTCTCGTTATTGCGCGATTATTTGCCGCTCGTGTGTTTATAATCTAGGTTGACACTTCACAAAATGTCATTTGGTTTTGTAATTTCCTCGGTTTATGCGCAATTATAATTGTTAAAGCGAGAGAGCTCGTTATTTTGAACGAGGGTCAGATCGCGTTTTACGAGAAATCGGCACGCGGGCTTATCGGCAAATTCTGGTAAACATAATGGAATCCATTATTTGCTTTATCTCGCGGAGATAGATAAAGAGAGAGAAAGAGAGAGAGAGAGGGAGGGAGAAGAAAAGAGAGAGAGAAAGATAAGTTTTTTTATTTTTTTTTATTTTCGATCAAACTCGGACTTATTAGCGTGCAAGAAACGCGCCGTCGAGTTGCAGCCGGTCAATTAACGTGATTACGATCGATCAATGAGAGTTCAACGTTCGTCGCCGCCTCGACCGCCGCGGCGGTCGCTGCCGCCGACTTCTTTTATTCGTTGTTTATACATGGAAATAACGTTACGCCGACATCGGGAGCGGGACAGTATGCAAAATAATGCAAATAACATGTCCGAACCGCTCCAAAACCCTCCGTCTTTCTGTCTATGTATAGAACCCTCCTCTCGTCGTCGTGGTGGTTTTAGCGCACGAAAGAGGCATCCGACGATGAAAAAGAGGGCTCGTCTCTCTCTCTCTCTCTCTCTCTCTTTTTCTCTCTTTCTCTCTCTCGGGTTGATAAATTTCCACGCGTACAGTTCGGGTAATATCTCCGTTATTTTAAAACAGTTTGCTTGCACGCCGAGCGATATACGCGTGGCGACTACCAACGTCTAAATGGAAACATCAAACGTACAAATGGTTAATATACTCGTTTTCGCGCGTTAGCTCTTACTTCATCACGCGAACTGAATCGCCTGCTCTTATCTGCAGTCCCACTTTGACGATTGTCGAGGCAATGATAACAATGGCGCTGATAAGAATCGTCTAGATGGGCGGGTGTGTGTGGTTTGTCGGGCGTCGTCGTCGTCGTCGTCGTCGTCGTCGTCGTCGCGATTCACCTTAGTCGATCTAATTGTGCATCGAATGTGTCGCGCGACAACTGTGCACGACAACAAGACTGTGTGCGCACCGGCTTCTCGCGAATGTATTGCTGCAGGTGCACGGTGATAATTATTAGCGTCGCGAGCTGAAGCGTGCGTACTAATTGCGGACATATTAGATAATCACCTGTGTGAACCGAGTCGGGACGTTTTACTTTCATTTTCGCGCTACTCGAATAGACCGTGAAAATCGCGATCTTTTTACACGGCGAATTACAAGGTACGTTAAAACGCGTTGTTATAATAGAATAAATAGGCCAGTAATCTCGCTCGCGTTACGAAACACGCGCGCGCGCGCGCGCGCGCTCACGCGCGAGCGTTATATCAACGTAAGTAGACGACGTGATGAAATAATTTTTCGTTATTACAGATTTTATCGTATTATTATTTTGTCATGCCTCGCCGCCGCGCTTTCCAATTATTGCTTACCTTTGTACGTCTCTTTTGAATGTGCGCGCGCGCGCGCGCGTGCAATTTGATTCTTAAAACTTCAGCACTCATCGCGCGCGCCGCGACCTCCTTTCGGTCGCACGTCGGCCATCTCGTCGTCGGTGCACGAGTGCGAGTTCACTTCGCGACATATATAGCATTCGAAAATGTTGTCAATAATTATCGTTGGCGAGAGCGCAATTTATTGCGGCGTGAGACGACCGCGTCGAATTGCGTAAGTCAGTCTCATCTTCTTCGATAAGATGTTGACGTACATTTTTGCTTCAATTATTTGTTAATGAATATTCATTGTGTAACATCTTGAAATCTTTGCTTTGCAAAGAGAGAGAAAGAGAGAGAGAGAGAGAGAGAGAGAGACGCCATGCTGGAAACCGTATCACATGATTGTCGCATTATCGACTTGCGCGATTTCTCTGTTGCAGATAAATCAGATCGAAAGATGCGGGCAGCACCGCCTTTGCTGTCGTTCCTGCTGATTCTTCTCCATCACTCGGGATGGACCCACGGATTGTGCCACCTGACCAAGGCGGACAGCGACGTCTTGTACAAGGACGCGCAATGCGATCAGCTGAAGGATTTCGAGAAGATCGAGACGTACGACCGGATCGTAAGCCTGAAGGCTCCGGGCGCACAGGACGTGTTAGTCCCGGACTTCTTCAGCAACCTGACCGATCTTAAACACCTCGATCTGTCCGGCGGCGATCTACGAACGATCAGATCCGGAAGTTTTCGAGGATTGAGTAACCTCAGAAGTCTCAATCTCACCGATAACCGCATCGAGTACTTGGAACTTGGCTCGGTCGAGGGTTTGACTCATTTACGTAGTCTGAAACTGCGGAAGAACGCTATCCGGCAACTGCCAGCCGCGTTAGCGCGCTTGAAGAACCTCAAACATCTGGATATTCACGACAATCCGCTCGAGTGTAACTGCGCCACTCTGAACGTGCGAGATCTTCTGATCAGAAAAAAAAACGTGTCGTTCAAGAACGTCTTGTGCGCGAATCCCGCCCACATGAAGGACACGTTGATAACAACGTGGAACGCGACGGTCATCTGCAATTTTGAGAGGCAGGATCGGGAGATGCAGAACGATCAGCCGGAAGGGTCCGGGACGGATCCGGGATTCGACGATATACCGGATGATCTGAGCGAAGAAGAGGACGAAGACGACGAATACAAGGAGGTCAGCAACAGCTTGCCGGAGAAGCCGAAAGAGCTCGAAATCGAAACGCCTTTTCCAACATCGGTGGAAACCACGTCGGCATCTCCCGTAATCGTGTCTACTGCCTCGACGAAAGAGACGAGCGTTTCCACAGAGGAGACTACCGACACAACGGTGAATTCCTTGCAGAGTACCGGCGACGACGGAGAGATCTTCTTCGACAACGAGGACAAGAAGGAACAAGCGACCACGACCGAGATGTCGCAAAACAAAATCAAGGACAGCCTGTTTTATCCGTCGGAGGGCTCTGCCGACGGGGACGAAGGTTCCGGCGAAGGATCGGGAATCTGGAGACTTGGAGACGACGAGGAGAAGACTGTGAAGGAGAGCACAAGTGGCGATTCGCTGGAAACTAGTTTCTTGGATTTAATTTTCGGCAATTGGGGTGGCACAAGTACTCCGATTCCATCGGAGACCAAGGATCCGGATCTTGAAGAAGAACAGTTTATAAACGTGTCGTCCACCACCGAGGAAACGATTGCCGAATCCTCCAGTAGAGTCACCACCGATGCGACGACATCTATCTCGATCACCAACGGCGTGGAAGTGTTGCAATCCGGCTCGGGCGACAAGTCCAGATCGGGCAACGTCAAGGCCGAGGTGAATAGTCTGAACGACGAGAACGCCGCGGTGTCCACGTCCAAACAGTCCAAGAAAGGTATGGGCTCGTACATCGTCTTGGCGATTCTGCTGGCGGTTGTGGCGGCGCTGATCGGCATCGCCGCTTACAGGGGTGACATATGCCGGAAGAAGAGGAAACGCAGCGACGTGGAAAACGGAACCGAGCTGAAGGACATGCAGAAGTCTCTACTTCCGGACGGGAATTCGACGCAGCCCAAGATCGCTTCCAACGGTAACGCCGAGAGCATTCCTCTTGTAGACGGTGCTCCCGACGGCGACGATGCGAAGATCGACAAGATCCGGAGCAACGATCGTCAAACGCAAGATGCGCCGCAGCAATCTGTCAACGGCACCGCCGATCATTCGGATCCCGTGAAGCCACCCAGAAAACAGATCGCTTCGCAAGACGAAAGCGTGGTTAACCGTCCACGCGTTCTGGATATAAATTCCTTGAGGGAGAATTTTCTGGCGGACATGACGAGCCCTACTCACCCTTCCGAGTCATCGATAGCGACGAACAACGAGCCGAACGGTCCGCCCCTCAGTCCAGGTGCTCAGAGAGTGAAGATCACCTTGCAAGAAAATCCTGACAGTGTGCCAAAGACGCCGATACTCATCACGCGAACGATAGCCGGTGAGAATCTAGTCAAGACGTCATGAGGGCACTGAGGAGGAATCACAACGTGAGATAACGAACATCGATCGACTGACTTTATATGTTCGTTCGTCGAATAAAAATCGAATATTTGCGAGAAGAAAAAGAAAGAGAGAGAGAGAGAGAGAGAAACAAAGAGAGAGATAAACATTAAAGAACGCATAATAATTTGTAAGAAAAACGTAAGATGTGTAAACGTTATTATTGAGCGTTCGCATATTAATGATGTGACGAGAGAGACACCAATTGTTTTCGGCAAAAAACTGAAGAAAAACGTATGTCGACATTAGACGACAGTATATATTGGTGTAACACACCTCGGGTCGCTTTGTTGAACAATCGAATCCACGAAATGCTATGTGTATATATTTGCTAACTCTACGCTGCGTGGGATGTTTTTGACGATATCGCGCGCTTTTTTCGTGTGAACGTCATCGCGTTTCGTAACATTTCTCCGTTCAGTGTTTCACATTTCGGCAATAAAAATTCAACTTTAAATTGCAAATATTTCAGCAAAATCATCAATTTTTGTATTTTTTTTCTTTTTAAAGAAATAAATTACAAAATATATTTTTTTAATTTGATTTTAATTTCCGATGTGATAAAATTTTGTCGACTCTTATGCTACATTGAAGCGAGATTTTGCGTCGATTTCCTTCACGAGATTGAAAACGAGAAGAAACAGCGCGCGATACTCGCTGGAACATCCTGTGCGCGTTAAAAATTCCGCGAGTGTGGAGGGTAATACACTATACGTACGCGTTCGAGATTAACACTATAGCACACTAGTCAGTCTTCCTAACGGATCTCGCACGTCCTGCGAGCGCCATGGACGAGAAGAGGATCTCGGGGGGAATTCTGTATCTCTGACGTTCGCGCGTGATGATCGCATTGCGAGGGATCCTCGAAATTATAGATTTCAGGATCAACGATGACGGTATACGAGACAAGATAGTTAATAAAACTTTAAGAGGGAGCACACATTCCACATTTGATTCTGCCATATAATTTTCCGTTTTCCTTTTCTACGAAAAACCTGTGCGCGAGGAGAGATTTTACCTATTACGCATATCTTTACGGCCTTACGCCGTCCTTCTTTTCAAACTGTTTGCCAACGCGCGCGTATCTTGTAGTTTTAGCGCGACGCGCGCTTTAGGTTTACATACATACGTCGCCGCCGTCTATTATTGCGTTCAGACTCAAAGAATTTGTAATTCAATGAGAAGTTTGCCACTTATGGATAACGACCTTTATTTTGATTTGTTATGCAAAGTTATACACATCGGGCGAGAGCGAACGATTTGACACGAAACGTGTCGTTCACGACATCACGAAAAATTAATACGTAAAAAAATTATTCTGTGTTATCATGTTATTCCCCTTATCTGGAGCGAGCGCGATCCTCTCCGATAATGCGTTCGTCGTTAGGTGCGCCGAAGCAACACCGACTCGAATTTGTCTTTTCTTGCGCGTTAAACACATTTATTCGCGTTGTGTTAACAAGACGGCGCGGATCAATGTGCGAGATTTTACGTCGAAAGAAGAGAGACGAGCACTCCTCGTGCATATGCGTACCGAGGCAACAACGAACGTTTGATCATCGCGTTGATTATCAGTCGACACGTCATTACATGCCGGAGTATGTGCGCGGAGTGACAAGGCGCCGCGTTATCATATAATCGACTACTATACCGCGTTACGATTTCTTTTTAAGCCAAATGTGTACGGATGTTGTATGCAACATACATATATATATATATATATATATATATATATGTATGATTTTAATTTTAAGATAAGCGCGCGCAATCCCGTTAGATGTATCGATCTTGCGTCACGACGGCGCGCGTCGTCGGTTTGAGGAAAAGGCGACGAAATAAACAAGCGGTTAAGATTGAAAGACTTTATTTATATGTTCAGTCTTTGATCAATAAAAGAGTGTTATTTTTTGTTGACATCATCATTTGTCTCACTTGTGCGTCACGCGCGATCTTTGACCGCGCCTTTTTTTTACAATAATTTTGTTATTGTCGTTCCGTAACGTTACGTTGCAATTTGTTTCGCGTATCGCGTGTAATTATTCAGCATTGTTTGGAAAACAAAAAATGAGATTGTCGGTATTTTCTTCACACTTTTTTGATACGAGATACAACAATGATACAAATAATGTACAAATACAATATTTGTATACATTGCGCGTAGCACAATAAAACTGAAACACGCACTACGCATTTTAACATTGTCTGCAAAAGATGAATAATGTGTAACACGTCACTCGGGAGTTCAATGAATAGCATTAGGTATTCAACATGATGCTTATAATTTGCGCATTACGCTGTTTCGTTATCGTTTCTGTGATGAGGAACACGACTAACATGGTTGTCGATAAAAAAAAGAAAAATCCGTAACTATAATCTCGAAGTATTTCTAACAATTCTTTTTAGAAATTGAACAAGAAATTACCGTAATCTGAAATCGGTGTGTATCTTTACGATATTCAGAGCCGGTAATTTAACGTTATTATAGTTAGGCCTCTCTCAAGAAGGCAAAGAAGAAGAACGGCATTCCGGGAAGCACGTTCGTGCTTTTTTGCTCGTTTTTTTTTTTTTTTTTTCAAAGCAAATCTCGCACTATTGGCTGGTTCTTTCGTTTGTCATTTACTCAATTATTAACCTTCCTCGGGCGATATAAATAAGAGCGTACTTAACGTAAGAAGAAACCGGTCTGACATGTGAAAAAAAAAAAATACAACAGAACTGCCTGTAATGTTATCGCGCAAAATCAGTCGTGCGCTTTCGCACTCGTCGATTTAGCGCTAATTGCGATTACGGGGACAGTTTTCGTGTGTCAAGGAGCAAATTTAAAGAAATAAAAGGCCTCACGCCTTCTGCGCGAGATGTCAATACAATTGCGGTTGACAAGCGCGTCGAGAGCGGAAAGCCAAGACAATTTTTGTTTCCCTATATTTTTATTAAAAGTACCGACCAAAAAATTTGTCATATACGTTGGAAATAAAAAATTCTATAACGAAATACTTCAATCGTGATCCGCGCTCGAGTCTCTGTAACCGCTTCTGGGTTCTCGTTTGAGTTCTCTGATGACTATCGTCGTCTGGACTTCGGAATCCTCGTCGTCGGTCACGTGCTCGACGTCCCTCGACATCTGTCTTCGCTTTCTTCTCTTCGTGCTGGGAGTCTGCGGCCTCGGTCTGTCCTTGCCGCTGCTTGACTCGACGATGATCTCGTCGACGACGGCGCTCTGTCTTCTGGATCTGCGGCCGAGGGAAGTTCTCGAATTCTTGGATGGATTCGTGACGTGCGACTGGTCCGTCTCGCAGATGTTGCCGCTGGAATTGGTTCTCTCCCGTCGTATTCGCAGCTGTCGGCGTTCCTCCCTTCTCAGCAGATCGTCCTCGCTCTGGGTTCGTTTCCGGGGCGTGCGTTTTCTCGATCTTCTCTTCTTTACTCGTAAATTGTCCACGGAATTCACGGCGCGCAAGGTGTCGTTCTCGACGGAGATCTCGTTCAGAGCGTCCAAGGAATGAACCAGTCTGGGCATCTGGACCGCTTCCTCGTAGCTAGGCGGACCGACCAATTCGAGAGGATTGATCCTAGGTTCCGACGGTTCCTCTTGCTCGACTATCTCTTCTTCCGAACGATAATTCCTAAAATCACGTGTTTAAAAACAATTCAAAAACAAGACTATTACATATCGTAACTTTCTTAATATTGTAATACAAAATTTATATAAATGTTCGGAGACAAAAAGCATTTGTGTGATAATTTGAATTTTTATTTGACAACTTCAAATAATACGATCGAAAAATCGCAGCCACGTCGATAACGCGTTACAACTGCTCGTGCTTTAATATCATCTCTGCAAAGGCTATAATTAAATTAATGTACCGACTTGCGAAATTGCAAATTGCGAACGTGAATCTGCGCTTTCGACTCTGGATAGGACAGATACCTGTCTTACCTGTTGCAAGTACTGACGCATCCATTGTTTAGCTTTTTAATCAAACATCTTCGCTGTGATAGTATTTTTTTAAATTTAAAGAAATCAAAAAAGAAAGCAACTACATCAAATTACTAAACTGTCAAATTGTGCACTTAAATTAAGTTTATCACAATTATATATGCATCAATAATAAACTTGGTATAATAATTTATCGTAGTCTCAAAGATTCTTACCTTCTGTGTAGAAGTCTTAATCTTTCTCTCTCTTGTGCTAATTCGAGTTGTCGCCTCTGTTCGGAGGCTCGTCTTTTTATTCTCAAAGTGTGTTTGATCGATACCACGCTGCCGCTGAGAACGACCAGAATAACCAGAATGACCATTATTATTCCCCACGTTCTGTCTTTGCTGTGATACAAGTCGTTATGCCAGTCGTTGAAACACGCGGCCTCCCACGAATAACCGGAAACGTTTGACGGGCTCTGGCAAATTAAACTCGACGATACAATTTTGGGAGGAGGACTCGTTAGATATTCAAAAACGTTGTAAATTTGCTTGCAGTCGCAACGCCACGGATTGTCCTCCAAACGGACTACTGCCAGATCCGGATTGTATTGAAACACACCGGGATCCATTGCTTCCGTCAAACGATTTCCTGTGAATTAATTAAAAAAAACAACGAACATAACGAAAAATGCTATTGAAATAAGAAAAAAAAAAGAAAAATTAGAATTGCGAAAAAAACGTTGATTTTGAAATTGCAATAATGGGCGAACATTCAGAGAAGTCACATTATCAGAAGAATAATGGCCAATTAAAGTGTCTGATGTCTCGATTCTATTATCGTATCGTTCGCAATCGAGCTGTGCTTCAAAATCAAATATCTCTGCGTCTCGTATTTGTCTCAGCTTCTGTTCTAATATTCAGTTAGCTCTCGTGATCTTACCTGACAAGTCGATTTTTTGCAGAGACGGTAATTGAGTGAAACTGTCGTTGCGCAGCTCGACGAGTCTGTTTCTCTGCACGTCCAGTATCTTCAACGTCGTCGATTTCAAGCCGCGCGGAAACGATTGCAGTTGATTATCTCTCAAGATCAGACTTCTGATTCTGCTCGTGTTCTCCAGAGAATCCGCTCGGAAGCGGTTGATTAGATTGACGGACAGATCCAGCAACGTGACGGCGGTCGACAGATCCGGAAAGTATTGCAGAGAGTTGTAGGAAAGATTCAGAATTCTGAGATCTATGCTCTCGTGAAACGCTTGACCGTGGACCTGTCTGAGACTGTTCACGGACAGATCCAGCACCTGGAGCTTCACCAGACCGTCGAACGTGCTCGCGTTTAATTGGTCAAGACCGTTCGCGTTCAGATACAAATGCGTCAACTGTTTGTTTCTGGCGAAAATGCGATCCGGCAGAATGCGAATCATGTTGCGAGAGAGACGTGCGTACGTAAGCGAGACCAGACCGTGAAGACCGGGTCTGTCGAGATTGCAGCTCGACACGTCCAGTCTCTTCAGCTTCAGATGCTGCAGGGTCGAACGTCTGCAAAGACGTTGCTTTTTGTTATGTCTGCGATTATTATTTTTTTTAACAATTAAATCTTATTGAAGCTCGATAAGTTACTAAACTAAGAAATAATACGGTCATCCGAGCCGATCGCAGGATGTTGTGCGGAAACTGCGTATATATATATATATATATGCATATATATATGTATTTGTTCGCGTGTAAATTTTCCAAGTGCCTCGGTAGCCTAACAGGGAAGGCGACGGCCCGGAAAGCTGGAGGTTCCAGGTTCGACTCCTGGCTGAGGAGTATTTTTTCGCAATATTTTCAAAATTAGTTAAGGGGGTAGATGGGATCTCTCATATATGTGATGCAAATCCAGCATCCTATATGAATTTTAAGAATTGATATTCAATTCAAAAACTCGCGTGTAAAAATTTACACGCGAACAAATATATATATATGCATATATATATATATATATACGCAGTTTCCGCACAACATCCTGCGATCGGCTCGGATGAGTATTATTATTTTTTTTTGTTGATGTAATTATTATTGTAAAGTTACCAGTTAGTGCAGAATTTTTGCATTTGTTTGTTTTCTTATATTGTTTAGTAAGAGTTTTGACATTTTGTTGTTTACAGTGAACATACTTATTCCGTAACCGCAAGTAAGATTTTGTGTAGGTTTCATTACCGAGTGCTGTACACTAATCGAGGATTATTGACCAGTCGCAGCTCCTCCAGTTCCGGGAGTTCGCTAAAAGTATCCGGATACAGATAATTTAGATCACAGTCAGACATGTCCAACCATCGCAGTGTGTGACTGACGGGTGTTCGAACATTTTTCAGCGGGTTTCCCACGAGACTCAGTGTGACTAGCCCCGGCAATCCGTTTAAGGACGCGTTGTCGAATGCTTGTATTACTGAAAATACACGAAGAAAAATGTCTGTTTAATTTCTTAAATCAAGATTTTCAAGTATATTTTCTTTCATAATGCGTTTATAGTTTATTTTAGTGCTTTTTTTTAAAAAAATATCTCATATTTATTGTAATTGAACTACGCACAGCAATGACCCGCATGCACCGCCTGAAGCGTCTCGCTGGTTAACCCTTTCAAGTCGGCTAATGGATTCCTTGAGATGTACAGAATTGCGAGAGCCGGCAGCTGGCTAATGGAAGCAATGTCTGCCGTGCTTTCGATATTGTTCTCCGACAGATCTAGTCTTCGCAGCTGTATTAATTTCTCCAGATTGTGCGGCAGGAAAGCGAGTTGATTTTTCGCGAGGTTCAGGTACTGTAGCTCGATCAGTCGATTGATCTCGTCGGGAATCTCGTTCAAGAGATTATTCGACAAATCCAAGTGCTCGACCTTCGTATTTTCGTGCGGACAATTAATTTCAAAAATCAAACATTTAAAATCTTATCGGGTCTGATTGTTAAAGGAATTTGTTAAAAACACATATTTGTTTTTCTTAACAACTTAGAATAGAAATATAGAATAGAAATTAATACTTGCGCACGTATATGGTAAAGTGTGAGCGCGTGCTACAATATGATTCACTCTTATCTCGATTACGTATCTTTTTTATTCGTACACCGGGTACACGTTCATTTCGTTATCGAGGCGCAGCTATTTTACTTTAGTTATTCGATAAGTGTTTCATATCTCACGTTTTTGATATTTAGCACATTGTGTTCTCAATCGCGACACAATTTGGAAATCGAGAGAAAATTATTTATTGAGGTCATTTTGTTTTAAAGTTGCGTACTCACAATATCGCTAACGTTTTCGGGAAACGTCAGTAATCCTTGCTGCGAACACTCGACAGTCCTGGGCACTTGGCTGAGATAACACAGACACCTGTCGGGGCAGGCGCTCTGACATCCTGCAATTGACAAAATTACCAGCCAACACGTGATCAGAAGTCGCACGCCGCGTTGCATCATCGATTGTTCCTCCATGTTCGTTTTTCATCACCGTAGTGAATCAGATCGAACGCGATCGAATTCACACACACACACAATCTCTCACAGCGATAAATTCACTTCGCCACTTGCATCGAGGTGATAATCGCGAGCTTCTGATCACGCAGTGCCATCGTCGTGCGATTTACCGCGCCGAATTTCGCATGACGAAGAAAAGAAACTTCAAAAAAATCGATCGCCGAAAAGTTTTTCACCGCGAATCGAGCCGCAGTACTCCGTGTCAGACGTGTACTGAGTTACTAGTTATCTTTGATAAGTAACGCAGGGTACGCCGTCACGATATCTCCGTAAGATAACTCGTGCGATGCCGCGTCGCGAGGTGACAAGCACGAGATATTCCGTACAAAAGGGACGAGAAAAAAAAAAAAAAAAAAAAGATCAGACGGAGATACAGTGGTGAATGCACCTTGCACAATCTGGGCTGCTCGACATTGGCTTTATTGCATAGACGCGAGGCGCGATATCAGAAATGTCTGTCTATTTATCTCGACGTTTCTGCGAAGAATAAAATCAATCGCAAGTAATATATCGAGAGTTATCTGCTAATATATTTAGTCTCTAACTTTTTCTTTGACTTTTTTAACGATAATACTATAGAGTGAGGAAATAATTCTTAATTAATAAAAGAAGAGAAAGAGAGAGAGAGAGAGAGAGAAACACGCGATAACGTTTGATCGAACGTTAAACTTGTATCTGTTTGATCTCATAATTTTTTTATTATTATTAATAAATTAATACATATCGCTGAATTATTGAAGCGTGGATATTTTAACGAACGCTTTTGACGTACAGTTAGAAATGGCGATCCGGGAAAACGGGTTTCTCTCTCTCCTCTGGAAGAGACATGAATGGAAATTTGAATGGGCAATGCCGCGGAAAATGTAAGACATTAGATAAATATCTCAAGTATCCCGAAAGCCGATATTGAAGCGAGCATCTCCGCGGGTCTAAAGCCTCTCTCGGCTGACCCATGCGGATATTTTCCCCTTCCTCGCTGCTGTCGTCGCATTACGATCTTTTTCTTTTTCTTTTTTTTTTTTCCTTTTTTTTCCCATCGTTTTTCCGATCCGACAGAAAACCCGTATCTCTCCGAAAGCGACATCCAACATAGAGGATTAGGTCAGAGATGCAAGAGAGTTCGTTAAATTTATACCACATTTCTTCGTGCGCGCGCGCAGAATCGATTACAAAATGCAAATTTGCATGTGCGGAGAACGCGTTTTCGCGCATTCGCTTTTCGAAATAAATAAATTTTATACCAATTTGTGAGAACAAGCAATTGACGCTGATATTTCGCGTGAATAACACGAGAATGAGAGGAGAAAGCTCGACCGAAAGCTCCACCCCTCTGGTAAAAAAAGATTTAAAAAGACCTTATCCGCGCAGGACTGACTCGGCTCTCTTTTTCACACGTCCGGCCGAGCCAATAGCGAGGGCAGGTCACACCCTCGGGAGGGTGCGAGAGGTTTAGCCAGCGCCGGCGCTTAGCCCTGAGCTTATCCGGTGGGGAAGAGGACGTGTTCTACCTGTTGATACCTAAACCAACCCCTTCGTCGCGATTTCGCAAATCCGGAGTTTCACGTAGCGTTTGTAGTCACGCCCTCCGCGCGCGGCTCAACAGATACATCCGCGATATGATTCGTCTAAGTTTTTTCAAATCTACGTGTCGCAGTAAAAAAATATCATACTTTTTTCAAAGATGTGATAATATATCATATTATGTATTTTCTGTATATTTAGAAAAAAACGTGAACGTTTTAAGGTTCCGCGTGTGTGAGAAATAAAAAGAGTATAAATCGCTTTCTCTCTGTCAAACTAATTATCTTTTCGATCGAATCTCTTATGTTTATATAGTTGCAGAAAAAAGAGACGGAGGAGAAAATAATATATTTCCAGTATGTAACACACACAGATACAAAATAATACATCCTTTTTCCTCCATTTACCTCTGATGATATTCTATTAAGTCGAGAGAATAATTTCTTAAATTATAATTTCACAAACCGAACGCGCGAAATCTGTTCAATTGTTTAACAGAAGTGTAAAAACGAAACAACTAAATCTCTATTTCTTGTACATTGATTTCTCGTAAATACATATTCATTTTGTAACAGCGTATTGAGCGAGTTTTCTTCTTCTCTCTCTCTCTCTCTCGCGATAGGATCTCGCGTACTTTAATCAATACAATTAGGCGCGCGATAGCGCGGTTGTGAATATTCACGTAATATCGAATTCGTATTAGTTGCAGTAACCGCCGCGAAATGAAGATTCCCCAACCGCGGCAATGGCTTCGGAATCGATCATCTCGGGACGCACCACCGATTCCTCACCCCGTTTACCCGTGCGCGCATCGAACACCAGCAAACCAGGTACGGCAGATAGCTATAATTAACACGTTCCGCGTGGGTCGTATACGCCCCACTCTAGACTTTCCGTTTAGGCCATATGCTATTTTCGCTAATGAGCGTGACATTATCATAAAATATTTTCTAAAATCATATCGATGCCTAAATATCATATACAATATAGTTATTACATCGTGGACAATTTAACTACTTTTTTCTTGATAATAAATGATTTCTGCAATCGTAGAAATATTATGAAATACATATGTCATGAACAAAATTGGTAGTCTCGAAAGCGTGGGATGCGTACGACCCACGCGGCATGGAACGTGTTAATTATAGCTATCTGCCGTACCTGGTTTGCTGATGTTCGATGCGCGCACGCACGATGGGTGAACGGGTGAGGAACGAAATCATCGAAAATCGGACTGGCACGGAACGTGTTAAAAGTCGATCAGGCCCTCGCAGATAAAGAACGGTGCGGTACAGTACGTGCCAATAACGTGATCATCTCGACAATCTTTGACTGCCGCAACCTCGAAAAATAAGAGGCAATCTTGAATAAATATTTCAACAATTTTAACAATTCTGCATTAAAATATTCTCAACAATTAAAGATGTTCTATAAAGTTGTTAAAAACAAATAAAAAAAGAAAAGATTTTGCAGAATCTCTCGAAGACAAGAGCATAATGACGATTTTTTTCAGGTTTGTTTCATCTTCGATATCTGTCATCGTTTCTGCTACAACAAAAAACACAAGATAATTAAGCGATCATTTGCTGTGCTTGTTGCAACAAAAATGAGATGATTAAAATTGTTTACTGTTTGGTCGCTTTGGTGCTTTCTTCCTCTTTCTTTCTCTCTCATTTTTATCGGAATGAGCTGATATAGTACCAAACCCTCGGTTCCCTCACATCGCGAGACGTTTCGCGCCGGTAGGATCGGTCTCTTCGTTACTATTGAGGGCACCTGTACCGGCGAGGATATAATACCGGCGCGCGCTATCTGGAGTATATTTTTAACGCCTTCATTTCCGGCCGCGCTGGAACACCGGAAATAGCGGGACGATACCTCGCGGTGTTTCAGGTATTGATCAGTTCGAGGAGCCGGTGCCATCCGCCCATCCCCGGCTCAGATGAGGAAGGGAGGTGCACGGCTCTGCAGATTCGAAGCTTCTACCCCCTCCCCACGCGCGCAACCCCCGTCGCAACTCTCCCTGCCGACCCCCGCCGCCAACGCTGGCGTCCCGCTGGCGACGCCCCTGGTCCGCCACCACCCCCAACCGCCGGTAACGGCAGCGGCGTAACGTCGAAGACGGATCTTTAGACATCTCCGCCGTCTGCGCTCGGATCTTCTTCGGACTACGCTCCGATGGCTCGCAGCGAAAGGGGGCGGATGTGCTAGCGGGGTGCGAGTTTTTAGGGAAGAAGCAAGAGACAGAGAGAGAGAGAGAGAGAGAGAGCGACGGAACGAACTTTGTCCGCTTCGCGGTACACACCCGCCGCGACATGTACGCGCGAAGGAGAGGGTAAAAGGGGAAAAAGGGGTTGTGGTATCGATGGCAGCGTCGATGACCGGAATATGGTTTGCCGGTGGCAAAGTCGCTGAAAGCTACGCGCGATGAAAAGGCACCGAACGAACCGGAAAGAATGCACGGCGATTGCATTAAACTCTTAGGAGATGTGAACGGGAAAATATTCTAATAATTCTGTCTAATGAGATTGCGCGCTGTACGAATGTTTAAAAACAGTTTTTTTTAGACATTTATAACTTATATAACAGTAAATAGAAATATACCGAAAGGAATTACGAGTTTAACGTGTTTTGAAAGAGAAAGGCTTCGAGGCAGTGTTACGCGTTCTCGAACGCGCACAGCTATTTCGTTAGAATATACCTATGAATGTGTGTGTGTGTGTGCGTGTGTGTATGTGTGTGAGCATTTATATAGATGTGCTCACACAATACGCAACCATTTCCGGGAAATATACCATTTTCGTATTACTCATACGCGGCACAGGTGGATGAAGACATGAGTTCGGCGTTATGGGAGTAACATGCTCCCGAGGTTTCGAAGTGATTTTATTTTCCCTAAATTCGTCCCCCACCCACCGTGACTGTCCTTAAGCCGGGTTATAAATAACGGCTTATCTTTTGTCGGCTTCAACGCCGCCGCGACGACCCCGCATAAAGCACAAACTTTTATCCCTCCCGGGCGAGAGAGCTCTCTCTCTCTCTCTCTCTCTGTCTCTCTCTCTCTCTTCCCGCCACCTTCTATGTAAGGGGTCGCGCGCAAGAAGACGTCTCTTGATACGTGCACTCGTAATTGCTTTGGCGTGTCCCTAAATCAAATCCTGCGGTTTTTCCGCATGGAGAACATTTACGTTTCGCAGAGAGAAATAAGACTGCGATCACACAATGAATTCGTTTTCGTTTCTCCTCTTTCGAATCGAAGCGTGTCGAGATTATCTCGAGACTTCCCGTGGTCGTTCAGAGCAATATATTTTTTACTCGTAATTTGCGTTTGTGAATTTTTTTGAATAGAAAAACTCGCGCGATGTATCACGTATGTAGACTTCGCTCGAATTGCGTAAGTCGCGAAGACCAATCGGTGATTTCAAATATTCGGCGTCAAATACACCCACACGTTTTGCACCGCTACGACGTGCGCGACTGTGTGTACACCGATTCGCTCGGCGCGTTTTATACCGGAATCAATGCGATCTCCGCGACAGGCATTTATCAAGTTGTTGTTTAAGCGGGTTGCGTCGGTTGACGGCTGCGCGATGTGGAAGTAGCTTAAGTAGCTGGATTTCTCGCTGATATTTGAATGGATGTCGGCTATTTGTGGTTCACTGCGTCCTTAACAAGATCA